GGGCTTTGTTTTGGGGTTGTAGAGGAAGCGCAGCGGTGAAGTATAAATCTTGTAAGAAGCAAAGTAAAAGGAAGGTAATTCAGATGGGAGAGTCTCGTGTTCAGCGATACCCAAATCCAATCTTTTTTGCTCTCTAGAGGGTCGCCTCCAACCACCAGTACAAGCAGCTCCAGCCTGACAAACGATGTGACCAAACAGCCCGTCAGTCGGGACATCGCGTCTGTGAGGCCCGCCAACGTCGGCAACATGGGGGTGCAGTACACGCCCCACTCCCACCAGTTCCCCCGGACAAGAAAAATGTTTGACAAAGGGCCGGAACAGGTAAGGAGGCTTGCTACACATTTCCTTCTTTGTGCTTTATTTCTGCGTAGCTCTTGTTAGCTTCCAGCTGCTGCTCGCTTCAGGTTGGCGTCTTCTAACCGGTAAAATAAAATTGATTCTTTTTTTTTTTTTCTTCAGAGTAAATTTTGGGTCATAGCTTTCGATAGGGCATGATTCATTTCTGCTACTAAGAGGTGTTTGATCAGAGTTGATGGCTTATTCTTTCATAAACGTTTGTCTGCCTGAGTGATAATGCAGAGTCAGATCCGTGGCCCTCAGGAGCTTTTTCTCCAGCCTCAGCAAAGGTTGAAGCAGAGACCGAGGGGAAAAAGGGGAGATTCCTCTGCCTTTAACGTACAAACTGCCCTTCCTCTCCAGAGACTGGTAGGTGCTTCTGCACTGGAATATTCGCCTTCTTCCCAGCACCCCGTACCCACGCCACGCGTGGCAGCCCCCCTTGACTGTGCACCAGGGAGGATGTGAGCCCGGCCCATTCCTAGGAAGACCAAAGCTCGTTACAGGTCGCCCTGCTGGAGGAGAGCTGGTCTGTGAAGAGCTGGGAGGACCTCTGGGAGGAATGGCAGTGACTCCTCTTTTTGGCATGCAAGCAAACCAACAAGGGCTTTGCATACATTTTAGCATTCTAAAGGCAGCCGTCGGGTACTGGGCACTCTTCCATTTGCAGAAGCATGACGGGCTGACGTGGTGCCAAGTAGAGCAGTCAGTCAGACTTGAGCGTGCACGAAGGATTCTGAACGTCACCGTCAGGTGAGTCCTGTCTGATGAACACGGTTGAGTCCAAGCACACTCGGACGTGCTCGTGGCCGTCACTCGAAGACAGAGACTGTCACTTAGCGATGTTCTTCAGGATTCAGCCACCTGGCAGTAGTTCTGTGCCCACCTCTCCCTCTACTTCAGCGCATTTCCAGGCTTCTTCTGGTGCTGGCTCTGTGGATGGGAGGGAACTGAAAAGGCAGCAGGCGTGCTCTGCTGCCTGTGCTAACGCACGGAGCCCGCTGGGGAGGACGCTCACCCTCCCTTCATCCCTCCCAGTACGGTAAAAAGGAAGGATTCTCCCATCTGAAGCGTGAGGTGTGTGCGTTGCCCTCCCCAGGGCAAGGGGACAGCGCAGCTTTCGGACGTTCTGGCTGCTGAGATGTGACTGCTCTTCACTTAAAGTTGGAATTTCTGCCTTTTGGTAATGAGTGATCCCAGAGAAGCTACCAGGGGTGGCGAGTCAGCGCTCTGTGTGATGACAAAAAAAAAATGATGTTGAAGCCGTAGCAGGAAACACCTTCACTTGTCAAGGGGCTGGCAGCCGTAGCCCAGATCGCATTTCTGAGAAAATGGAGGAAGCCCGGTTGAGTGGAGCGGTCCTTCCGTTTTCTTTTTGGACATCTTGTGCTTCGTAACAGATGCTCAGTGCGTCTACGCCCCGGATCTGAAGCTGTGTCTGGCCGGGCTCTGCCCTGAATCATCCTCGCTGCTCCGCTGTTGCTCATGCCCGTGAGAAAACTCAGCCTGGGACTTGGTTCTGGTGACACGGCGGTGCTGCAGCCCTGAGCCCCGCGCTCCCTGGTGACGTCTCGCGCTGTGCAGATGAGGGAATTTGCGTGTTTCCAAAGAGTTAATGTAATGACAGTGATCCTAACGCTAGATGTGAAAAATGTCATATCCTTGGCCACGTGTTTGAGCTTTTCTCTGCCCGGTGATGGGTCGAAGGCAACCTGGGTGTTGCTGCGCGTGCGTCTTGCCCCCGCGAACGGGAGGGCTGTGGGTTAACACCCTGTTCTCTTTCTGGACAGACCACTGACGATGCCGATGACGCCGTCGGGCACAAAAGTTTCATTTCGGCCACGGTGCAGACGGGGTTCTGTGACTGGAGCGCCAAGTATTTTGCTCTGCCCGGTGATGGGTCGAAGGCAACCTGGGTGTTGCTGCGCGTGCGTCTTGCCCCCGCGAACGGGAGGGCTGTGGGTTAACACCCTGTTCTCTTTCTGGACAGACCACTGACGATGCCGATGACGCCGTCGGGCACAAAAGTTTCATTTCGGCCACGGTGCAGACGGGGTTCTGTGACTGGAGCGCCAAGTATTTTGCTCAGCCGGTCATGAAGGTAATACTGCGTTACCTCTGCGCGTGCTCGCTGCACCGGCGCGGG